TCACGCACCCTCCTCAATAGGCACCTCTTTAAATGGCACTCTCTGGAGGGCCTCCCTCTCTTTACATCACCCCACCCTGGCTGCTTGAGCCAAATCTTTGTGATTGGGCCCATCACCCATACACTTGCCCTCTGGCTGGCTGGTGGCTGTCCCTGACCTCACCCCTGCCGTGATGTCACAGCACAACAGTTCTGTTGTTCCCATGACAACAGCCTGCCACCGTGAGCAGCCAGGACAGAGGCTAGGCCACAGGTGGAGGTAGGAGCCGCAATTCCAGCTAGCTTTGGTTAGTGGGCCCCTGAGATTCCACACAGCCTACTTCAGGGCCAGGGTCCAGTGTCTGCCCCACCTGTTGTGAGGGTGGGGTTCTCCGTGTGCCCAGCTGTTTGGGGAGGCTTTCTGTGGGCTGATGGCAGGCTGCAGGACAAATGTCCAGAAGGCTGTTTTGAAAGTCCCTGTGCCCTGGGGATCTCAATGTTACAGGGGTCCCCATAGACCATTTGGTCTAGAAGGATGAGGGTTGATGGTGGGGCTTGGATGAGGAAGATCATGGTGGTTTAGAGGGATGGAATTGTCATCATGATACAAGACTTTTTTTTTTTTTTTTAATTTGAGACAGTCTCACTCTGTCAGCCTGGGTAGAGTGCCAGACATCATAGTTCACAGCAACCTCAGACTCTTAGGTTCAGGTGATCCTCCTGCCTCAGGCTCCTGAGTAGCTGAGATTGCAAGTGCCCACCACAACGCCCAGCTAGTTTTTCTATTTTTAGTAGAGATGGGGTCTTGCTCTTGCTCAGGTTGGTGTCAAACTCCTGAGCTGAAGCAATCCACCTGGCTCAGTCTCCCTGAGTGCTAGGATTACAGGCGTGAGCCCCTGAGTCTGGCCGTGATGCAAGATCTCTAGGGGGAGTGACTGTTGGCACTGTCAGGCTGTGCTTAGTTAGACACCAGCTGGGCAAGCCTGAGGTGAGCCTTTGGTAGCTGACATCTCAGCCGTGACTTTAGAGGAGATTGGTCTTCCTCAGAGTCCATCTTGTGGAGCTGAACCTGAGCTTGCTCCCCAAGGCTGGCTGCCAAGCATTTTGCCCTGTGAGAGCTTCCACAGCCCAGGGAGGGAGGTGGATCTACTGTGGACCCAGGCAGGACTCAAATTCTGCCCTCCACCTACCCAGGGGGAGGTTCTGACATACCCAGTCCAATGCCCAGTCCAGTGGCTTAAGGAACCACCCTCTGGAGTGTAGCTGGGCATCAGGAAAGGGCCAAAAGAGAGGCTCTGGGCAGGTTAGAATGTGGAGGAATGGAGTCGGAAATGTTTCTGATGTTTGTTTTATCTGAACTTGCTTGGATGCCTCTAGTGATGGGTGTCTCACTGTCTACCAAGTCAGCCCAATGATTTCAAGACAGCCCTGTAGGAACCGCTTTCTCCCACCGGGCCTCACCTCTCTGCCTCCCTGTAATGCGTACGCGGTGGCCTAGATCGATCATCTGGAGACGCTCACAGTAAGTAGCACCTTCTTCCCAGTTCAGCTCACCAGGCTTCCGGTGGTGATGAGTGCTGCTGTCTCTGTAGAGGGGTACACTCTCATTAGTGACTCCATTTCACAGATGTGCAGACTGAGGCACCAGGGTTAAGCAGCTTTCCCGAGGTCACACAGTTGGTGCTGTCCATCACCACACTCTCTAGATTTTTCTTTTTTTTTAATTGTTGAGGATTCATTGAGAGTACAAAGAGGCAGGTTATATGATTGCATTTGTTAGGTAAAGTCCCTCCTCTCTAAGTTTTTCTATTCTTTGCAAACACCCTGACCTACCCACACCCCCCCCCAAGACTTTTCTTCCTGTAATCTTTTTTTATCATTCTCCTGCTGAGATGAGTCTGTGGCCTTCTCCATCTGTGTCCTCCTCCCCTTTTCCAAGAGCTCCCAGGAAGACATCCCTCTATCATTTGGCTTTTCCCCTTGTACAGTGAACTTCTCGTTCAGCCCTTTATATGTCCTTGTTCGTTTATTCCTGATCATTTCAACAGTTTGACTGTGATTTACACTTTTATCCCTTGACATTGTCAAGTGGGCTATTTCTAGATTTAGATACTTCTTAGCTTTTTAACATCATTTAGACGCACGTCTGCCTGTGGGCTCCTTGGTGTGGTGCTGTCAGTCCCCTTCACATCTCTGTGGGGCTCTGGACACTCACTGCACCTGTCTGCACCATCGTTGGGGCTTCACACGGGTCATTTCGTCCGATGCTGGGGTGTCCCGTAGAGTAGGGCAGGGCAGGTGCTCTGCAGACAGTGTGCCGTGCACTTTGGTGTCTCAGTGCCCGCAGTGAGGTCTGTGTGGGGCAGGGCTTGGCTGGACCATTACCTTGCTTGTTTTAGCCCTTTATGTTAACACAAAGATCACATGGGCTCTTTTGATGGCCACTTATCTGAAGCTCTTTCATCTCCTACGTTTTGTATTGTCCTCTTGCTTTGGACCTGCATAGCTGGATTTGGGGACCCACATGTGAGTTTTATTATAGATGTGTTCCCATTACATTTTATCTTCTTATGTTAAGCCAAGCATGCAAGTTGTTAAAAATCTTCTGAGCTGAAGCCTAGCCATGGGTCTTGTCTCCCTCGTAGGTAGATGAGGATGTGGATGGCCACACCCTAGGCCACGTCTTAGGACTGATAAGCTTAGATGTGAAAGCTTAGCTACGTGACTTGTGGAAGAAACTGTCGCTGCCTCAGACCGTTTATTCACTCTTACTTTAGACAGTTTTAAGAAGTTTGTTTGAGTGGGTGTCAGTCTGGGACAGTTCAGAAGAATAGGCTGGTATCAGACACACAGAGAAGTTACCACCAAGGAGCGGGACATAGGAAGCTATATATAGGCAACTTGAAAACCTCAAATTGCATTCTGGGGTCACTTAGTTTAGGAGAATTCTGTTCCATACATTTCAAAAGCCCTTGAGGGCTTCCCTATATTATCATCCCCAAGGCAATTCAGAGTTTTCCAAAGGGAAAAAGAGGTCAAATTATATATTCTGAATACTCTCAGAAGCAGAGAAAGTCTAGCTTTACATATGAAAGAGTAAGCTTTAATTATACAGAAATGTTCTCTGGCCCCTGCCAACTAATGGGAACCCTTCTATAGCTATTTTTATGTGTTTCAAAGAAAAGGTGCTCAGCTGTACAGCCTAAGCTCTATGCTTTTGGTGAAAGGGAAGAGTATTTTCCTCGCTGCTTTTGGGGGTCAGAGCATCCTCAGGGCAGAGGGAAGTGGACCTGGGTAGGATGGGGGTGCACCCATGTTACCAGGACCCCACGTGAGCACAGTCAGTGCTGGGCCTGGGTATGGCATGTTTGGGGTTGGGGTATGGGGAGCTATGGCAGTGTTCTCAAGCCTGCGGGCCAGGGTGGCCCGTTGGAGATGGGAGAGGCTGGCTGGGATCTGGAACCTGCACCCTAACTGGCAACTTTGGTGGTTGTGAAGTTTATGGCCTGGGGACTGCCTTTAGAGACTTGCCTAGGGCCACTGGGCTTGACAGTGGCTAGAGAATCCTGGCCCCGCCCAGACTTGCTGCTGGTTCACAAAACCCTGTGCCAGTTCTCAACCTCGGATGCATGTCAAAGGCTGAATGCTCGGACAGAGAGGAGGTGGATGGGTGGGTGATGCTCACAGAGGCGCCCAGTGTGCCAGGTGGAAGGCCATCCCAGGCCTCAGCATCCACGGAAGCCCTGCAGGCCTCCTGGGTCCCAGGAGGTCACATATCAGGTGGGGCCCCACACAGTCCAGGACAAGTCCATGGAAAGTGACTTCCAGGTTGGGATCCAGGGATCACAGGTCTTCCTGCTTGGCCTTGAATCCTTGCTGCCCTGCTCATGAGCTGTGTGGCCTTAGGCAAATTACTTAACCTCTCTGAGTCTCAGTTTCCCCATCAGAAAGTGGGTATGGGAACAGGAGGCGTGAGAAGGTGCATGTGAACTGCTGAGATAGTGCGAAATCACACAGGTCCACTGTCAGGTCTGCATGGTTGATAGAGCCGTATGCACACAGCAGCCCCAGAGAGTCTGTTTGCATTGTTACCTCTCTGATCACTGTGGCAGGTTCCAGCCTAGAACAGAGCATGTGTGAGGCTATTGGAAGCTGAAATGGGAAGAAAAGTTGACATCTTGAGGGGCCAGGTCATGACATGGGAAGGAGGGAGGTAGTTGGCATCCTGCTGTTGCCTCTGGGGACAGGCAGGCTCACTGTTGTCCCTCCCATCTGGGTCCAGTGCATTCTAGGTATGTGGCATCTGCTGCATTGATTTTTGGAAGGCCATGTGTATGGATCACCATCACTTTGGAGGTCACCCAGGGTGAGCGTATCGCACCCCAAGCCAATGCTGGGGCCTGGGGCCATCTGGCAGCCTCTTCTCAACCAACAGCAGCAGTGGGAAGGCCTGAGTATTTGTCACAACCTGCTGATTAGCTGTGTGACTGCCCTCCTGGCTGACCTGGGATGGGCAGAGCTCTCTAATAGGCCCACCCTGAAGCTACAGCTCCTCGACCTAGCAGACTGGGTGGGCAGCACTATGCTTATTCCACAGGAGAGGGAGACATAGGTGACCCAGGTCAGCCACAGGACCCCACATCCTATAACTGGGCCCTAGTCCTCTCTGATGGCAAAGCCTCTGTCCTGGGTGCCTCACATGTCCTCTGATTATGACACTTGTCATCCCCATAGAGGAGGCCTAGAGGTTCCTTTGGGAGGGTGTGAGGTGGTCAGGGATTTGCCCATGGGCTCTGAGCACTGCTTCTGTGGGGAAGAGGGCTGTGATTTTCCTGAATCAGGAGAGAAGACCAGAGAGAGAACTCCAGGAGAGTCAGAATGCTCCACAAGGATGTGAGGGGCCTTCAAGTGTGACAGAGACAAGGGAACCCTGGGATTCCTGCCTAGTCTGGACCAGTCTGCTCAGCCGAGAGAGTGGGTATCTCTGGAGGGGGCAGTGTAGTATGCACCCTGATCAGAACCATGACTGTCTTCCTTGGCAAAGGTCCTGCCAAGGGCACCCTGTCTTACAGGGCTGGGGGGACCCTGGGCTGCCTGAGGGCAAGCGGGACGTTCCACCAGGCTGTGCGCCAGGTGAGCAGGCGTTTATCCCTGGCTGTCGGTGAAGACTGCTTGCGTTTCTTGTGAGCACTTGCATGGGTCCATGTGAGACCCTCCCGTCTGGCCTCAAGTTAGCGAGTGGAGCTGGGCATGGCAGAGGAAAGCAAGGGAAGTGGGCGTGGCAGAGGGCACAGCTGTGTCCGTCAGTGTCCTGGTGCTGTCACTTCCTCCACTCTGGAGCTGACTGTCATTTCCTAGACTTTATCCTAAAGCTCTCTGCCCAGATGTTTTAAGTTTTCTTTCATTTTTATCCCTCTGGGAAAAATCAACTCTGCAGCGTGGGGGTGCTCACATAGGGTACAGTGGGGCCCTCGAAAGCACAGAAGACCTGGGGGCACTTTGGAGTGGGGGCCTGTTAGTGTGTGCAAGCCAGTGGCTGCAGGCACAGAAATAGGCTCTGGGCCTTGGGCACGATTAGCCCCACTGTCTTCCCAGACGGTCAAAGGGACACGTACAGCAGCTTAGACCATTCTCCACCTGTTTGGACCACTCTGTGGCTCAGTCTTGGTGTTTGAGACGAGATTCAAACCCAGCTTCTCCCTGTGAGTGGGGGAAGATAGTCAGCCTCTCTGGGCATCATTTCTTCTTTTGGACATATGCTTTCACTTCTCTTGAGTATAGGCCTGGGAGTGGAGTTGCTGGGTCATATGGTAACTGTTTAATGATCTGAGGAACTGCCAGACTGTTTTCCAAGGCAGCTGCACCATTTTCCATTCCCACCAGCGAGGCTTCCAACTTCTCCACCTCCTCACCAACAGTTGGTATTGTCTGTCTTTTTGATTCGTGCCGTCATGGTGGGCGTGTGATAGTATCCCACTGAGCCTCAGCGCTCCTCTCCCTAATGACTTGAAGCTGGACACCTTCGTATGTGCTGCGTTAGCCAGACATCTGTCTTCTTTGGAGAAATGTCTATTTAAATCTTCTGCTGATTTTTAAACTGGATCATTTGTCTTCTTACTGAGTTGTGAGAGTTGTTCATACATTCTGGATTCAAGTCTTTTGTTAGATGTGTGATTGGCAAATATTTCCTTCCTGTCTGTACCTGGTATTTTCACGCTACTGATGGTGTCATTTGGAGCACAAAAGTTTCTTTTAATTTTGATGGTGTCTGATTTATCGATTTTTTTCTTTCATTACTTGTATTTTTGGTGTTACATCCAAGAAATCTTTGTGTAACTCAAGGTCATGAATATACACCTGTATTTCCTTCTAAGCATTTATAGTTTTAGACTCTGCCTTAAGGTCTGTAATCCACTGTGAGTTAATTCTTGTATATGGTGTGAGGTAGGGCTCTGAATACCCCTTTTGGGGCATGTAGCTATCCAGCCATCCCAGCATCAATTTGTTGAAAAAATGAAAACCAATTATTCTTTCCTGCATTGAATTGCTGTGACAGTTGTGTCAACAGTCACAATCACCGTGCCTCAGTGCCTGCTTTTCCCCCTCTGTCTCCTCTTGCTCATCTTGGTGACTGGCAGCGGGCAGAGTACAGTACTAACCACTACGCTGACTGCATGATTCCTGGTGCAGGGTCTGATTTACCAAGAGGTGCAGGGCCCTCCCACCAGGAGACGTGAGTCAGGGCCGCTGTGGAATGGTCTGCCCAAGCTGCCCTCCGCAGCTGGCCATCTCTGCCACTCGCCAGCTGTGTGATCGGGTCAAGTGTCTTCATCCATCTCTGCCTTAGTTTCCCCATCTGTGAACCAGGAATGATAATAGCTTCTTAGCATTACAGTGAAAAAAAAATAAACTAATGAGTGTCAAGCACTCAGAGGGAGCCTGCACAGTTAATGAGCTGAAATACGGCTACAGTAAGATGTGGCATTTTCTGATGACTGCAGCTTCTCTTGGCTCAAATATCTTAGCCTGGATCCAATAGACTAGAACAGAGAAGGGGGTGGACAGTGGAGGTGGAGGGGTGCCCTGTGTCCACTGCAGCTGTCCATTAGGGATTCCTTCAGCTCACAGGCATGGTGTATCTGGCACCAGCTGCAGTGGCACCAGACACACCTCCATCCCTCGGAAGATTTGACAAAGCATGGATCCCCCCTAGTGTCAGAGAGAACTGGGAGAGCCCTCTGGTAATGACATGAGGACAGAGCTGAGAGCCATGGGAGAGAGGTCACACTGCTTCTCCTCCTCTCTGTTTGGTCTTGCTGGATTCAAGTACCAGAAACACACGCATGTGTTCACACACAGACATGCATATGCATGTGCACATGTACCCCACAGAGGCAGCACACTCACACTCACACACACATAAGCACATGTGTACACGTACCCCGCACACAGAGGCAGCACACTCACACACACACA